GTGGCGCTGTGCCCGCAGGGGCGTGTGCACCCAGGCCCCCTGCTACTGCATCATCATGGAGTTCTGCGCCCAGGGCCAGCTCTACGAGGTGCTGCGCGCCGGCCGCAAGGTCACCCCGTCCCTGCTGGTCGACTGGTCCATGGGCATCGCCGGCGGCATGAACTACCTGCACCTGCACAAGATCATCCACCGCGACCTCAAATCGCCCAAGTGAGCGGGGGACAGCGCTCGGAGCACCCGCGGGTGCCCCCGGGCGTGGGGACGTGGTGGGGTGGGTGCGTGAGCGTGGAGGTGCCGGGACGGTGGCGTGTCCTTGTGGTGCCGTGTCCTTCATGCTGTGTCCCTTATTCTGTGTCTTCATGGTGGTGGCCGAGCCGTGCACGCGGTGGTGGCGTCCCCTGGACAGGAGCACACTCAGGGCAGTGGCAGATCCATGGCGGTGCCACATCCCTGCTGCTGGTGTCCTGTAGCAGCGCTGTGTCCATGTCGGTGCCGTGTCCCTGTCAGTGCCGTGTCCCTGTCGGTGCCGTGTCGGTGCCGTGTCCCTGTCCCTGTCAGTGCCGTGTCGGTGCCGTGTCCCTGTTGGTGCCGTGTCCCTGTTGGTGCCGTGTCCCTGTCGGTGCCGTGTCGGTGCCGTGCCCGTGTCAGTGCCGTGTCGGTGCCGTGTCCCTGTCGGTGCCGTGTCCCTGTCGGTGCCGTGTCCGTGTCGGTGCCGTGTCCCTGTCCCTGTCAGTGCCGTGTCGGTGCCGTGCCCGTGTCGGTGCCCGCCCCGCGGTGCCCGCCGTGTCCCGCTGCTGCTCGCAGCAGTTGTCCGCCCGCGGCGGCGCCGTGTCCGTGCGCTGGCGTGGCATTGGCGTGGCATTGGCTGAGCGCGTGTCCCCAGCATGCTCATCACCTACGACGACGTGGTGAAGATCTCGGACTTCGGCACCTCCAAGGAGCTCATCGACAAGAGCACCAAGATGTCCTTCGCTGGCACCGTGGCCTGGATGGCCCCCGAGGTCATCCGCAACGAGCCCGTCTCCGAGAAGGTGGACATCTGGTGAGGCCACGGGGACATCGGKGACATCRGGRACACTGGGCAGCTGTRGTGGCACTGGGGACAAACAATGGGGGCGGTGGGGATCAGGAGATGTCCTGGGGACACGGTGGGGACCAGAGATCAGGACACTGGGAATACTGGGAGTGACATTGCGGGGCCAGGGGACATCAGGGAGCACCAGAGCAGGGGACACCGGGGACAGCAGAGTGGGGGGAGCAGGGGGCCACCTTGGGTGCCCCACCGTGGGTGACGGGGCCGTGGGTGACGGGGCCGTGGGTGACGGGGCCGTGGGTGACGGGGCCGTGGGTGACAGGGCCGTGGGTGACGGGGCCGTGGGTGCCCGCAGGTCCTTCGGGGTAGTGCTGTGGGAGCTGCTGACCGGTGAGATCCCCTACAAGGACGTGGACTCCTCGGCCATCATCTGGGGCGTGGGCAGCAACAGCCTCCACCTGCCCGTGCCCTCCAGCTGCCCCGACGGCTTCAAGGTGCTGCTGCGCCAGTGCTGGTGAGCGCCTCGGGGACACCTGGGGACACCCCAAGGGACACCTGGGGACACACTGTGGGGGACCCCACCTTGGACAGTGCCACGGGACTGCTACAAGGCTTTTATCCTCTGCCCTGTGGGTGCCCCATTTGGTCCCCAAAATCCCCGAGCACGCCCCAGACCCTCCCAGCGCCCTCCGCCCGTCCTTCCCGCAGGAACAGCAAACCCCGGAACCGGCCGTCCTTCCGCCAGATCCTGCTGCACCTCGACATCGCCTCGGCCGATGTCCTGTCCACCCCGCAGGAGACCTACTTCAAATCCCAGGTACCTGGAGSCCGGGATCCCTGCACCCCAAGTCCCATTTCTCCAGCCCCCCAGCATTCAGGGGGCTGCGGGACCCCGGCATCCTGCCTGATATGCACCACCGGTGGCCGCGGTGGCCGGTGGCAGTGACAGCGGTGTCCCCRCACCGCAGGCCGAGTGGCGGGAGGAGGTCAAGCTGCACTTTGAGAAGATCAAATCGGAGGGGACGTGTCTGCACCGGCTGGAGGAGGAGCTGATCAACCGCCGGCGCGAGGAGCTGCGGTGGGGCCCTGCTGGGGGCACTGGGAGCACTGGGAGCGCTGGGAGCGCTGGGGAGGGGACGGGGCGAGCCAGGGGCAGGGGGCACCAGGGGGTGGTGGGGCACAGGGAGGGCTGGGGGATCCATGTCACTGCTGGGGGACCGTGGGGAGCCTTTCCCTGTCCCTCATGGGCGCTCTGGGGGAGCTGTGGGGGGTTTGTCCCTGTCCCTGGCGAGTGTCCTGGGTGTCCCCTGTGCCGATTTTGGGTGTCCCCGGTGCCAGGCACGCGCTGGACATCCGGGAGCACTACGAGAGGAAGCTGGAGCGCGCCAACAACCTCTACATGGAGCTGAGCGCGCTCATGCTGCAGCTGGAGCTCAAGGAGAAGGAGCTGCTCAGGTGGGTGGGCGGCACCTCCGAGTGACACCCGGGAATAACACCCGAAAAACACCCTGAGCACCCCCAAAAAACACCCTGAGCACCCCCAAAAAACACCCAAACAGCACCCCCAAAAACCACCCAAACAGCACCCCCAAAAAACACCCTAACAGCACCCTGAGCACCCCGAATAACACCCAAATAGCACCCCCAAAAAACACCAAAAACAGCACCCTGAGCACCCCCGAATAACACCCCCGAATACCACCCAAACAGCACCCTGAGCACCCCGAGCACCCCCAAATAACACCCAAACAGCACCCCGAGCACCCCCTGTGCCCCTCCCCGGCCCTTTTCGCACCCCCTTCACCCTCCCTCTCCCCCGGCCGTGCCCCTCCCCGGGCCGCGCTGGCCCCGGGCGGGCTCAGAGCCCACGCGTGGCCGTGGCAGGCGGGAGCAGGCGCTGGAGAAGCGCTACCCCGGGCTCTTCAAGCCGCGAGTRCCGCGGGGGCTCCTGCACGGCAACGCCGTCGAGACCCTCATCAAGAAACGCAACGTCCCGCAGAAGCTCTCGCCCCACGGCAAGCGGTGAGCGGGGGCTGGGGGCCCTCGGGGGGGACACCCTGCGGATATTGGGGTGGGGGGATGGCTGAAATGGGGGTTTGGCTGATTGGCCTTGGGGGGTGGGTCCAGCAGGGTGAGGGGTCTGGGGTCGTTTTGGGGACTGGGAGCCCTGGGGGTCTCTGGGCTCTTTGGGGAGGGGGGAAGTGCTCTGGGTATGCAAATACTTGGGGACCTCCGGGTGGGGGTCTGGGGTCGTTTGCGGGAGTTTTGGGGGCTGCAGATGTCGATGTCTCTTGGAGAGGGGGGTTCTTTTGGGGGCCGTGGATGTCCCAGGGGTCCCGGTGCCCACATCCACAGCCCCACCTCGTGTCCCTCCCCGTGTCCAGCCCCGACATCCTGAAGCCGGAGGTGCTGCTGCCCAAACTGGACGCGGCCATGGCGCAGGTGGCCCTGCCGGGCTGTCCCAAGGGTCCCCCGTCCCCCGGGCGCAGCCGCCGGGCCAAGGGCCGCCACCGCAAGGCGGGACCCCGGGGCGGCTGCGGGGAGCCGGGACCCGAGGCCGGAACCCCCCGGGGTCCCCCCGCCACCGCCGCCAGCCCCGACATCCTCGGGGGCACCCTGGAGGCCGCCGGTGCCCCCCCGGCCACGGTACCTGATGTGGGACCCGAGGGGGCGACGGGCACCCAAGGGTCCCCCCCGCCGCAGCCCCCAACTCCCGGGGAGCCTGAACGGGAGAGCGGGGCCGGCCGGGGGGGGAAAGGGGGGGCCGGGCAGCACCTCACCCCCGCGGCTCTGCTGTACCGGGCGGCCGTCACCCGCGGGCAGGTGAGAGCCCCAGACCCCCGGGGTCCTTTCGGGAGGGGGGCGAGGACACGGGGGGAGACCCCAGGCCCGTCCCAGGAGTGGGAGGGGGAATGGATTCCTTGCGGGGAGGGGCGCGGTCAGGGCTCCCGGGACCCTCGCGGGGTCGGGGGGCGGYTCAGGGACGTGGGACCCTCCCGAGGGGCACCGGGAGGACCCCAACACGCCCCTCCCTGTGCCCCCAGAAAAGGGGGGTCTCGTCGGAGGAAGAGGAGGGCGAAGTGGACAGCGAGGTGGAGCTGCCGCTGCGGCAGAGGTGGGTGCCGACCCCGCCGGGAGGGGCCGGGGGTGTTCGGGCCCCCGCGTCCTCACCCCTCGCCCCTCGCCCAGGTGGCCCCCGGGGATGAGCAAGCGCCAGTCGCTGTCCACCTTCAGCTCGGAGAACTTCTCGGACGGCGACGGCGACGAGGGCCACACGAGCGAGCCGTCGCACAGTGCCACCCCCGACGTGGGCAGCACCAACACGGACGAGCGGCCCGATGACCGCTCCGAGGAYCTGCTGTCGCAGGGCTCCGAGATCCCGCTGGATGCGGCCCCTCCCGAGGGGCCCGGCCGCCGGCACGGGGGGCTCAGCCCCACCAAGGTGATGCCCCCGCCCCGGGGGGATGGGAAACGGGGGGTCTGGGGTCTCCTGAACCCGCCCTGGRATGGGCAGGGTGGGCAAAGAGAAGGGGGTCCTCATGCCCCCACCCCAAGATAAGGGGCAGGGGGCTGTCTGACCCCCCCATTTCCCTCCCCSCAGGTCTCCGAGGACTCGGACTGTGACAGTGCAGAGCTGGACCACTCAGGCAGCGGCGAGGGGCCCCCCCGACCCACAGCCCCCCCGGGCCTGTGACCTGCGTGCCCCCCACCCCCTACCCCTGCACTCCCTCACTTGTACAGCCCCAAATATTTATATAAATATCTATCGCTCTCTACGGCTGCTGCTGCCTCGGGGGGCACTGGGGGGGTGGGGTGGGGTGGGGGGGTTTATCTGTCTCAGATTTATCTCCCTCCTTGGTTATGTAGGTCCTACTGAAACACGCCCCAGGGGTGCAGGAGGGAGCTGCCCCCAAACTCAGGGGGGAGGTTAAGGGGCTGAGCCCGCCCTGCTTTACTGGTGGCACTGGGGAGGGGGGGTGGCATCAGTCAGGGGACAGGGAGGGGGATTTGTGTCACTCCTGTGACAAATCCAAATTGGATTTTGGGAGAAAAGCAGAGGGAACAGAASCAACAGCAGTTCCCAATAAAAACCAGTTTGGAGGGAAATGGGAAAAGCACCCCTAAAATTCACCTGGAGGGTCAAAACTTCT